TGGCGTGCCTGACACTAATGGGATTGGATTAGTTGTCGCATCTGGGGAATTGTAGATTTTTGAGAACCCTCTGTAGCATCAAGCTATTGTCAGAAAAGGTAAAATTTAGAGGCGCCTTTAAAATTGACTGTGGCACCTCTTTATGGGTCTTGGGAACGGCTATAAATTCAGAGCCAGCCAAAATCAGTGGAAGTGAACATCTGCTACTGCCCATTGTTTAAAGTCATAAGGTGAGACCCTGTTGGCCAGAGTTCATTCTGACCTCCGTCTGAGTTCGTATAGCAAAAGAATTGCGTGGCTCCTCGGAAAATTCAGGTCAGGGGAGAACCCAACCCTCCAGATTACCAGAAGAGCCATTCAACTCTGAAGATGAATTCAGTTTATCCTTCCGACTCAATTTAAATTATGACTTGGGGCCCACATCCAGTCCACCAGGAAAATTGGGGTTTTTTTCCCCCTGTTTGGGAACCTCCCTCCTCAGATGACTCCAAGCACCATTAGGGATGTTTATTCGGTACAAGAGGGTGGGTCCTGGATACTATCTCCTGAGGGGAGAGAAAAAGAAGAAGAAAAAAAACAACCCAGGCTGTCAGGAATTCAATTCTTTTCAGCTACTGCCGATCACTGCCACTAGGTGTTGCTATTGAAAGCTAAGTTATCCCCCCAACCCTTGTCCACTTCAATTCTTTTCCTGCTGTTTGCGATTTTTTGTTGTTGTTGTTGTTCTTTTTTAAGACGGTGTCTCACTGTCACCCAGGCTGAAGTGCAGTGGTGCAATCTTGGCTCACTGAAACCTGTGCCTCCCAGGTTCAAATGATTCTCCTGCCTTAGTCTCCCAAGTAGCTGGGATTACAGGTGCACACCACTACGCCCGGTTAATTTTTGTATTTTTAGTAGAGACGGGGTTTCGCCATGTTGGCCAGGTTGGTCTTGAACTCCTGGCATTAAGTGATCCACCCGCCTCAGCCTCCCAAAGTACTGAGATTACAAGTGTGAGCCACTGCGACCGGCCCATTTTTTGTTTGTTTGTTTTTTGTTTAAGGGACGGATTGAAGAACGTAAACAAGAATTAAATCTAAAATCCTGTCGCTAAATGTCACGATATACTAAGGTAATAATTTACAAGAGAAACTTGGACGTTCGAGTACATGCTTTGCCTGTTGTGGCCATCTACCTGCTCTAATCTCGAACCCTTACCTACAATTTTGTATATCCCAGGTTTTCTCCAAGCAGATGAGGAAGACTGGGGAGTACCCATGCTGGGATCCAAGAGCTTTGACACAGTGGGTTATTTGTTCTGAAATTTTCTTTGACTGTCTGGCATCATCCCTTTTTTCGATTCTAATGACTCCTTCCCATAGGCAAGCAAAACCTGCTACAATATTTCCCATTTGCAAAAGGATCTTCCTTTGACTCTACATCACCTCCAGTTTCTGCCTGATTTGTCGGCCTCTGTTCACAGAAGAGTTCAAGTGTTGACTATTCCCACTATCCCCACATCCTCTCCTCCCATTTGCTTTCCAATCAGGCTTTTATGTCCTTTGAAAAACGCTTGTTACCAGATCCAATGCTCAGTTGATCACAGTCCTCATCCACATTGATTGTCATTGCCACGGTTGGCCACATCTTCCTTCCTTCTGAAACCCTCTCATCTGGCTGCACGCTGCTGACTTACCTGTGGCCTCCCTGGGCTCTCCTTCTTAGTCCTGGCTGCATCCTCCTCACCCTCATGATCTCTTGCTTCAGGACTGGACCATTGTTCTAGGCATGGCCATGCCCTAAGTGACCTCATCCAGCCCTGTGACTTTCTACCGTGTATATACTGTGACTCCCAAATTAATGTCTCATCCCTGACCTCCCTCCTCCATTCCAGCCACTGCATCCAGCTGCCTGTTTGACATCTCCACGTGGTGGTCTAACGGGTGTTTCGAATTTAGTCTATCAGCAATCTAACTCTTTTGCCCTCAAAACCCGTTCCTCCTTGAGTCTCACCCATTTCAGGAAATAGTGTTCCTATTCACCCGGTTGCTCAGACCAAACACTGTGGAGCCATCTCAGACTCTTGTCTCAAACTCCATCCCCAAATCCAATCCAACAGCAACTCCTATTGGCTCCAGCTTCAAAATGCGTTTTTGGTTGTTGTTGTTGTTGTTTGAGATGGAGTCTCATTCTGTCACCCAGCCTGGAGTGCAGTGGTGTTATCTCGGCTAACTGCAACCTCCATGTCCCGGGTTCAAGGGATTCTCCTGCCTCAGTCTCCTGAGTAACTGGAATTACAAGGGCGCACCACCGTGCCCAGCTAATATTTGTTTTGTTTTGTTTTGTTTTGAGTGGTTTGGTTTCTTAATTATTTTAAGCAGTTGTTTTTTGTATTAAAATACTGCAACTCACATTTTTGTCAAAGTTTCCACTTTCTTATCAGAGACAAAAGCCAGAATAATGCAAAAAGCGTTCCTTTCCCCTATTCCTCAAGCATAATGTCCAACAATTTGGCAGCTGGAAGCTGTTTTTAACAGTTGTGACTTGTATTTGGTGATATAAACAAGATTATAGAGGCACTAAACCATAAATGTAGTTTCATTTTTTTGGTCATTACTATCATTTTACAAAATATTTAACTTTTACTTTGAACACTAAAATGTAGTCCAGCTTTTTAAAGCCACAATTAACCACCATATTTTTTACAGGACCAAAAAGTTTGTGCTTTAAAAAATCATCTTTTAGAATCAATTAATTAGAATTAGGAATGCTTAATGCCTACCTTAAGTGGATACCTAATTGATTCCTAAAATGAAATTGTGGTCTCTTTAATGATGTTCAAGTTGCAACATGGAAGCTGCTTTGGTGGTGCCATCTAAATGATAATGTTTGCAAATGCCAAATAAAAACACTTCGTTGGTAGATTGAGCTGTATGCTGAATTAAACACAAATCAGTTTAGGCATCTTCACTTTTCATTATCTTATCTCATTGGAAATTGTACATAATGTAAACAGTAGAACTCGATCCACTGATTTTTTTTCCTTAGTTTAATACAAATGTGCCTCACTTTAAGCAAAATATACTAAATGATTTCTGAAACAGGAGTTTCCTTACTTTTTCAGTTAAAAATATTTGCTTACAGAATTTCTTTAAATAACAAGGCTTCTTTGACCTGTTTGGAGTATTCAGATCACAGAAATTCATTTCACACATGACTTCTTCGAAATACCTACATTGCATAAAATGAGGCACACAGATACATGTGCCCATTCCATCGAGATTGCCTCATTACTTTTTGGTTATTTTATATTTTTCATTTTGTCATTATTAACACTTTAGTATGCCAGGTTCATTCACTCCCTGTTTTAGTTGAGATCAGTTAGTGTTTCTAAGGAGTGCTTCGTAATCTCTTGTCCCAAACTAGGCTGGTTTGGGTATCCAGTGAGAGTGACTGAAAACTGAAATTCAAGTCCTGAACATCCTTCCAGAACACAGCCTATCACCCTGTGGAGATAACACACAGACTATCTCAGAGGACCCCCACCTGTGGTGATGAAAATCATGTGAGAGTCATAGTCCAAAAGAAAAAAGTGCTGGGCACCGTGGCTCATGCCTGTAATCTCAGCACTTTGGGAGGCCGAGGCGGGAGGATCACTTGAGCCCAGGTGTTTGAGACAAGCCTTGGCTACATAGGGAGACCCCATCTCTACAAAAAAATTGACCAGGCATGGTGGTTCACGCCTATAATCCCAGCACTTGGGGAGGCTGAAGTGGATGAATCAGCTGAGGTCAGGAGTTTGAGACCAGCCTGGCCAACATGGCAAAACCCCATCTCCACTAAAAAAGCCAAAATTAGCCAAATGTGGGGGCACACACCTATAATCCCAGCTACTTGGGAGGCCGAGTCAGGAGAATTGCTTGAACCCGGAAGACTGAGGTTGCAGTGAGCCGAGATCATGCCACTGTACTCCAGCCTAGGAGACCGAGCAAGGATCCGTTAAAAAAAAAAAGACCGGGCCTGGTGGCGCATGCCTGTAGACCCAGCTACTCTGGTGTGATCCTGCTCCTGCTCTGCAGCCTGGGGTATACAGCGAGACAAAAGAAAAAAGTTAGTGGTAACAGGATAAACTGTGTAACCATGTATTATTCCTTCACATTCATGAAGCAGGTCAATTTGAAGCTTGAGGATGACTTCCATTCCTCTAGGTGAATCTACCAAGAAATGCCTTGGTAGAACTAAGAGCGCCAATGGCATCAGCAAGGCCAATCTGGTTCCCTGTGATTCATGGTAATTCTCACTATGACTTTGACATGGTGTTCCTACACAGTACCTATCAACACTTGTAGACACACTGTATAAGCGTTTCTTACATTTACTTTTCCTTTTGTCATTAGGTCTTTTATTACAGAGGCCACTGTGCACTCCACAATCACACACTTACACAGCTCCGCCTTGCCAAGCAGTGTAGACCCTCACAGATTTGGGATAACTATCCTTGCATTGTTCTCCACACCGTGTCCCCGGTGTTGAACTGAAGCAGCTCCTTCCACTTTCCCTGCCCATTAGCCAGGCCACTGTCCACATTGTCAGAAACATTATATTAACAGAAAAACTGGCCCATGCCATATTCCATTATGAGAGGTTATTTTAAATTCAATTAAATTCCAATGTTTATTCAGAAAACTTGGTAGAGATTGAATTGCTATATGTACTTTCTTAGTTTTCTTCTTCATATCATATTTTGATCATTTATCTTCTCTACCTGGCTGACTTGCCTGTTCCTTGTGGTGTAACTTCTACTTGGTGTCTGCACTTTGCTTTGTTTTCAAATTTAAAGTGTGAGATACATTTTTAAACCTACCTAAGAAATAGCCCTGATGTTGAAATGGCTTCTAGGTTTGACAGATGTAAGTCTTTGACTCTTTGGCTTTGGTTTTTGTGCCTCTTACAGTTTTTACACACATTCATTCAGAGGAAGACATTACCATCAATGTGTTGTTTCTCTTTTCAAATTCCAGTATGGTTTTTAAAGACCCATATTTCACTGAGCAGTGTACTTGTTGAAACTGATGTGAGTGACTTTATGTTTCCACATGTGATAGAGCGTCAGATCCTGGAGTTTGCCAGAATGGTTGGATTCAGGAATGTTTAGCTGACTCATTGCAGGAAGTTATCCTGCAACCCCAGCTACTCGGGAGGCTGAGGTGAGAGGATCACTTGAGCACAGGAGGCTACAGTGAGCTATGATCATGCCACTCCACTCCAGCCTGGATGTCAGAGCAAGACCCGCTAATGAAAGAATTATGTTCCAAAAGCCAGCTAAGCATTTTTTTCAATGAGAAGAGTTTGTGTTTCATGGCAGCTTCAAAGAGGGGGAAACATGAAGAGGAAATAAATGAAGACTATCTCGGTTTATTAAGGACATTGCAAAGGAGTCTGATGAACACCAGGTGGAGGATGCACAGGGCAATGCTGTGGGGAGGGGCACAGATTCTCCGTGCCCTCTCTGGGCACACCACCTGCCAGTCACCTCCACATGTTCAGCTGTATCCTAACTTTTGTATTTTTAGTAGAGATGGGGTTTTGTCATGTTGGCCAGGCTGGTCTTAAACTCCTGACCTCAGGTGATCTGCCCGCCTCGGCCTCCCAAAATGCTGGGATTACGAGAGTGAGCCACAGTGCCTGGCCCAAAGTGCGGTTTGAACAGACCTTTCTCACCACTTCCACCACAGTTCAAGTCACCAGTCTCCATTGGTACTGCACCCAGCTCTGACCTGCCACCACGCACAATCCATTCTTCACATGGCACACAGAGTCAACCTTTAACAAAGCAAATCAGAATGAGTCGCTCCCCTGCTGGGAATACTCCTGTGGCTTCCATTTCCATGTCATGAAAATGATCTACACACGCCTCACCATGGCCTGCTTAGGTCTTGTCTAACTCGGCTCCTGATTATCTCTCCTATTTTATCTTTTATGACTCTTTACTCCAGCTTCACTCCAACCACAGAAGCTTCCTGACTGTTCCCTGAACCACCATGGGGCCTGTCCCTGGCCACTCCGTCTGCTCAGAATTCTCTCTTCCTTCAGGGCCTGGCCCACGTGTGGTCTTATCAGGAGGGCCTCCCTGACCACACTCTCTAAAGTGACATTTTTCCCTCTCCTTCCCTGCTTTATCTTTTGTTTGTTTGTTTTGTTTTGTTTTTGTTTGTTTGTTGACGGAGTCTCGCTCTGTTGCCCAGGCTGGAGTGCAGTGGTGCAATCTCTGCTCACTGCAAGCTCCACCTCCTGGGTTCACAGCATTCTCCTTCCTCAGCCTCCCGAGTAGCTGGGACTACAGGCGCCCACCACCATGCCCGGCTAATTTTTTTGTATTTTTAGTAGAGACGGGTTTCACCATGTTATGCAGGATGGTCTTGATCTCCTGACCTCGTGGTCCACCTGCCTCGGCCTCCCAAAGTGCGGGCATTACAGGCGGGAGCCACCGTGCCCAGCCCTGCTTTATTTATCTTTATGGCACCTATCACCACCTGACATTAGGCTGTATGTTCACATATTTGTTTGTTGTTTTTCTTCTGCTATAAATATACGTTTCATGAGGACAAGACTTTGATGAATGCTGTATCCCCAGCACCTGATCAATAGCTGAGATATAAAGGACAGTCAGTAGGAATGAATGAATGAAAAGGCAATATTTCTTTTGGTGATAGCTGGCTGCGGCTGGTGATAGACTCCAGGAACTGGAGTTAAGGCTTTCTCAGGATATTCTGACCTGCTTTCAGTGTTACTGAGTGTTAAACAGAGCATTACCTTGTAATGACCAGGTATATCGTTCCTGAGCCTCTAAAGCATCTGTCCCCAAACTTTTTGGTGCCAGGAACCAGTTTTGTGGAAGATAGTTTTTCCATGGACCAGGGATGGGGGGATGGTTTCGGGATGATTCAAACACATTATGTTTATTATGCACTTTATTTCTATTATTATTATACTGTAATATATAGTGAAATAATTATACAATTCACCATAATATAGAATCAGTGGAGCCCTGAGCTTGTTTCCCTGCAACTGGATGGTCCAGTCTCAGGTTGACAGTGACAGATCATCAGGCATTAGATTCTCATGAAGAGCTCGCAACCTAGATTCCTTGCATGTGCAGTTCATAATAGGGTTCATGCTCCTATGAGAATCGAATGCTGCCACTGATCTGGCAGGAGGCGGAGTTTAGGCAGTAATGTGAGCAATAGGGAGTGGCTGTAAATACAAATGAAGCTTTGCTAAATGAAGCTTTGCTCGCTCGCTCACCTGCAGCTCACCTCCTGCTGTCCAGCCGGGTTCCTAACAGGCCACGGACCGGACTGATACCAGTCTGTGGCCCCAGGGTTGGGGACCTCTTCTCCAAAGCCAGTCAATCACTTTCACATATTTCCACATACTCTCATCACCTACATGCAGATGCTTCCAACATTCCAGTCTTCTCAGTCTAACACTTTCAACAAGAAACCAACACCAACAGTTACAACATCATCTTACAAAAGCATTCTCAAAAAGCATCCATTGAATGTATTGCATTTAAATATTTAGTTCTTGTTACTAGTCAATTGAAAATAATTCAAAATTACTTTCTTAGAAATTCACAACTGCATTGTTTTGATTTCCAAGCTCACTAGCCATTTTTCTAAACTATCACCCCAATTATTTTCAAAGCTTCCTTCCAGGGGCAAATTGATCCTTACAAGAGACTTTTCACCATTCTCCCCAGCACCCCCATGAAGCCATAATGAAATATGGGCCATCTGGTATCCTCTTTCTATCCATTGTCAGGTCACCTGTAGTGCCCTGGGCAGAGATATCTCCACTGATAACTTGTAACCTTGTAATCTGATAAGATCTCTGCCCATCCACATAAAAGGTTTGATGACCTAGAATCACTGCTAAGATCAGAGTCACTGGTCTGCCATTGATCTTCCACCACTACGTCACAGAGAAAAGGAACTCTCTGTCCCTTGGCTCAGGGATGGGTGCTCCAGGCCAACACTATAACCATCTAATGACATAATTCTTTGAGTATAAGCCCCTTTAAAGGAGTCCTTTACCCCCGAGACACCCCCTCATGGCTGGGGGAGCTGGATGCACAAAAGGTTTCTAGCTGCACCCCAGGGAGTACTAAGGAACGGCCCCTCCCCCAAACTATGCATCTGGAGGTTAACAGTAGAGGGATCGGATCCCTTTCTCTCTTCTCACCCTAGAACCGGATCCCATTTCCTATCTCAGGATCTGACAGTCTTTGGGAGAGGGAAAACCTGCTTCTTGTTATGTAACCATCAGTTGCTTTAGGCAACATCAAATAAGCCAGAAAACAAAGTGACAAAAAGTGCAAGCTGCCTCTCCTTGTTTAAAGAGAGAGAGTCAACCACTAACCTGCAAATCTGTAACTGTAAGGTAAGGTGGGATTAACTCAGACCAAAGGTAGACAGCAAAAATTAACTGCTGAACCTGGCTTGTTCTTTTGGAAAACAAGTAAATATAAATGTAGGTGGTTTTCAACCTTTTGGATTGTGTGCTAATTATCGTAGTTGTTCAAAGGATAGGGGGAATATCTCTTGGGTACAGTTTCCTACCAGGGGATGAGATGATATGAGGTGTGGGGGAAGGGGGTCTCCCCAGGAGAAGCATGAGTCTGCATATTGGCTAAAAGGTCAAGAAAAAAAACCCAAAAAACCAATGTCACAAAATGACTTTGTGAAGTAGTTGGTGCCATTAAATGTTAATATTGCACTCTTTGTTCCTGCCTTAAGAACCTTTTCTAAGCCTTTTTTATCCACTTGCTTTGAAACGTTTGCTTAACTCCTTTAAGTTTAGCACAGCAACATTTTTTAGGGACAGAACAACAATTTAGGGGTGGGGGAGACTGATGCTAACAGATTTTTATGGTGGCTTATTTATGGTGCAAGCTCTTAAAATCACCTAAGGCTATTTTTCTTTAGAACACTACCAGGATGAATGGGTGGTATTTAATTATTTACAAAGCACTTTGCCGTTGCTTTTTACTTGCTTTCCTTCACAGTCCCCTTATATTGATAGCTTCATATGGGATAATGTATGGGGAAGATTTTAAAGTACATAAAGTCAGATGATATTATTATATCATTATATTATTAGCATACTTCTTTTCTATATCACTGTTATAGCTATTAATCTTTCCAGAGAACAATATATGACTCAAACTATAACTGAGACTTATTCCATATCCAAAAGCCCCCCTAAGAAATGGGATCGCTTCCTAAATCTGCTCTCTGACAACACAGTCTAGGACATAAGAAGACCGAAGGATCTCATAGGATCCCCACTGGCGCTGAGCGTGTGTTTGTGCGTACATATTTGTGAGCACATCCACACCTTCATCAAGTCAAAGTCTTGAGAGATAGAGGGAAGGGAGTCTGGAAGGTTTCGCCATTACAGGAATCTCTTTGCTGTTTGCTGAGTTGCTGCTCGTGGCAGTTGGGAACGTCATCATTAATGTCTTTGACAGTCACTAACCAGCTCATTCCCCACAGACCGCATTCTTCACAGAAATCGTCTCTCTCTGCCATCACCTGTTCCACCGATCCACGTGGTTACTAATTGACCTAATGAGCAACTGACAACTTGTTCTCTCTGAGGTGACAGTCTCACCATTCTCCTGGTGGCCCGAGCCTTCATGGTCGGTGGCTCCCTGCCACACCACACAGCGCAGCCTCCTGGGGACGGTGACTGACAGTTAAGCTGTCACAGTGCTCTGGGCTGCGCGCTTGAATATTTCACAGTCTTTGCTCAGTGGGACTCAGTCTATAGAGACAAGCAGGCTGGGCGTGGCGGCTCATGCCTGTAATCACAACACTTTGGGAGGCAGAGGTGTATGGAGCACTTGAGGCCAGGAGTTCAAGACCAGCCTGGTCAACGTGGTGAAACCTCCATCTCTACTAAAAATACAATAAAATTAGCCGCGCATGGTGGCACATGCCTATAGTCCCAGATACTCAGGAGGCTGAGGCAGGAGTATTGCTTGAACCCAGGAGGCAGAGATTGCAGTGAACCGAGATTGCACCACTGCATTCCAGCCTGGGCAACAGAGCAAGACTCCTTCTCAAAAAAAAAAAAAAAAAAAGGCGGTCT